AGTACATTGTGTACCCATAACAGAGATGGGGACGGCAGAGACTCTCTGCTACTTGTGGTCCACAGATCATAAAACGATACTTCCATTCGTCAATTTCATTTGTTGGTTCTGGGATTAGAAAAAAAATGTGACAGGGCAAAAAAAATATAAAGATAGGCCTCACTAGACATCCTATGATAGCCCCAAATGTTATGATAGGAGCCATGAAGTCAACATACAAAACGAGGGTTGGTACCTCGGGTGATACGAAATACAACCTGTTAAAATTCTACATGTATTTTATATATACTAGTACCAAACTTACAGCTCTCCTTCGTTCTTCTGAAGCTTCCACTGCCAACCTATTACGTGCTGTAATAGCTGTCATCCTGCGGGGTGGACGCAATTGCTAGAAAGGGATAAAAGGGGGCTGTTACAATCATGATCGGAGGAATTTGTAACATTAACATTCCTCAGATATATGGAGAGAGTTTAATTGACACAATATAAGTACATCGACGTAACAGGTCTTTAAATCATACAGACAGACGAGGTGTGTACGAAAACGTACGTAGAAGACTATGGAAAGACCACGAAATGCACCAAATGAATTATACACTATATTTAAATTATGTCACAGCAGCGCAGAAGAAGTCAAGCGTTAATAACCTGATTAAAAAATTGAATGTGAAAAAAAATCACCTACTAAAGGCCAGCAGGACAAATTTGAAAAAAAAATTAAATGAAAGACAAGACATACATAGTGCATGGTCTTCTTTATCATATCAACACTTACCACTTTCACTCCAAACAGAGCCGCTGTGGCCTGTCTCGATAGAAGGCCCGCAACCCTTTGCGGCCTCCACATACCAGGTGCAGGTGCACCCGGTGGTGCAAGTCTTCGAGGTGGTCGTCGAGCCGGTGGAGCGGACGGCACAGGCACTGGTGCAGGCACTGGCACGGGCAAGGGCGCAGCCGCGGGCACTGGCACGAGCACTGGCGCGGGCACTGGCACTAGTGGCACTGGCGGACCTGCTGGTGGAGGCGGTGGCGCTGGTGCGGCCGGAGCTGCGGGCCGAGCCGGTGGTGGTGGCTGGACAAGAGCAAAGCCAAACCTGGGATCGCTATCTGTAAGAAAAACACAGGAAGGGGACACATTTAGGAGGGCCTGCATTAGGTAGAATCAAAGCGAATTACACTACACAAAATGCGCCAATTATGCTCTATGTTGAAATAGAGCTGTCCACCTACACTAGTTAAGTCTATTGAGGGAACTTCGAAGCCAGAGTGACTGATCTAGGTGAGAACATTTTCCTTTTGCGTTGGAACAAATGGTTTACCGTTGAACAATGTAATTACCAATATAGTTGAACTTTCATGACAGCACATTAAGATTTTTATCATTGCATTCAACTTGCATTCAATGTTACATTTGCGCGCTAACATGAAATCTGTTGATACTTAAATTAAAATCATTACTTATTAGCTACATAGTTTCAATGTCACAAGCAATTACATGTAATACTGGACTGAACAAAGCAGTACTACAAAAAATATAAACCACGAAACAAATTGGCTAGCTTACACATGATGGCTTTTAATATCTAAATGTAACTTTTAGTTGTTAAATACAAACGTCCTATTGCTGCAGCAGCTGGTCAAATTTTCATACAGTGTCCTGACAGATAAAGATCATATTAAAGCATGCAGTCGATCAACTTACGAAACCAGTTGGGTTTGCGTTTGCGGCGGCAGCTTCTTCGCCGATGGTCTGGCGCTGCTGTTGGTGATATAAAGAAAAGAAAGAGTTATTAAAGGGCACATTATTGTTATGTCAAATGCATGTAATAGTGTTAGCATGAATTTTAAAGCTCATCTGTGTTGGTACAATTATTCACATTGAAGTTTGAGAACTTTCGTTCAACACAATAGACATTGCTCAGCTCAAATTTTCGGCCGCATTATGATGATATAGCATCGACCATTCAGCGATATAGCCTTCGCAAATGGAAACGACCGTTTCATATACAAGACGGAAACACAGCTGACAATGTGGTAGGTGCTACCAAAACCATAAATGATATCCCTGTATGTCCTAGGTACACATCATGTATAAACGTACACACGTAACACATTTCTCCGTACATACAAATGTATTTCACTTGGTAAAATGACTGGGATTTTGTGACAAGAGGGACCGATCCATAACTAGCGCCATCTAGCGAACCTCTGAAACATTTTCATAAAGCACGGGAAATTTGAAATAACGCCCCGAAGAGTACCGACCCAAACTGCGATAGCTATATAGATAGATTGGACATCAGGCCAGAAAACATTCCTAATCAATCGGCATGAGTAAGTCACGATTTCTGTTGATGGGATTCGTTCTATGGGCAAGATGGAACTGTGTAACGAACAATACTGGAAGTATAATTGGGCTCACCGGTGTTGTTGATTCTGGCCATTCTCTTTAGACTGAGAGCAAGTCGATAGCGTGAGTCACAGGGACGTAATCGCGTAATAGTCACAAGGACGTAAACTGAACCCTCAACGAGAGTGAGCTTGGCCTGCTCGTCAGGCCTTATATACCCAGACGCGCTGTCCCGACGTACGACGTCCAGACGTGAGTCTAGACACGTCTGGACGTCCAGACAAGGTGTGGCTGGAGGCTTCCGTGTTCGTCCTGAGATGGGGGGAGAACTAACTCCATGCCGCTTCGATGACTTCTTTGGAGCAAGGGGGGTTTCTTCTTGTTTGAGGGCAGTGGCAAATTATTATATTTAGTCTCATGTTTATCGAACAACAATCTAAAGCAAGTATGGAGGCTTTTCATATCCACCATGTTGGATTACAGTGCATGCCGGTTCAGTTTACCCGCCAACACCAGGTCGTCGAGATTCATATGATAATTATGATGACGTCAATGAGGTTGGTCAAATGGTTGGGCAGCGCCAATGCATGCTATGTGTGTTCGTCACCAGGGTAACTCAAGAATAGCCTGATAGATTGGTCATATTTCCCATATGCAATAAAACCAGAGTTCCCTGGACTGTCATGTGAAACTTTTATTGGTACATAAAATACAACACTACAAATTGGGGCTTCCTGTAAACATGGAGAAATATAGAAATCTCTCAACATTCTTTCCATTTTCCAAACCACTTTTTTTGTAAAAGCTAATGGCCTTGAATTAACATATCAAATCTGTTCCAGCTAGAAGAATTTTAGTTTGGTGACAAGTCCCCAAACTTGTTTCCAAAACACTTTCCATATTTACATGAGAAAACTAGAAATAAGACAAATACATAGTAACTTACAAACTTCATATCATCACAATGTGTTATAAAGATGTTACATAGCTGCCAACATCCAGGTTTGTACATCTTAAAAGCAAACATTTCTCCAAGGGCAAACTTGCATTTTTCCCAACAATAGATCAAGTAAATGCCAGGCCCTGCTAATTTTGGATGGGTCCATCTTCAAATATTTTGGTTAAAAAAGATAATGATAAACTTTTTTGCACATGTGGCACAGGCTAAAATTGCCCTGACTTACACCAAAGAATGTAAGAGGCCAGACCCTACCAAGGTCAGAAATATTGTTGGCAGCAACATACACGTGACACTGTGCTTTAAGTCTCTATATATGGTATAGTTCAAATCTGACATGATGCTCTACACACCCACTATCAGATCAACACTTGTATACAAAAACATCTAACCAACAAGTAGTGTCCCCTATATCCCAATCTAGGATTGTGTTCTACCCATGGCACAAACAGTTTGGCTGGTATTGCTGTACCTGTCTCACCTGACAACCATCATTTTATCCAACATTTATCATGCACACAACAGACCACAGTTTGAGAAAACATCTGGGGTGACACAGACATTTGTACCTCACTGACATGAATTGGACAACTTTGTTTCATTTCTGCTAGCAGAAAGGCTGTTAATTTCAATCTACTGATGTCCTCTTGTGTTCTTTGAAATAATTTGTTAAATATGTAGATTATGGAGTTAGACTTGTTGACCAAAAAAAAGAGACTCTTTTAAAATTACCATTATTGTTTTAAAAACTTTGCAATCAGGTGAGAACAAGTCATTTTGATGTTGGTTTTGCCCCGACTCATAGTTTAGATCCATTTGTCATGCTATTCCATAGAATATTCCATCAGTAGCCAGGTAGGATTATTAAATAGTGTACACTAGAATGATGTATGTATCTATGGTACTGTTGACATGGCAAAACAGTCATCATGATCAATATTTAGCTTGTTTTATTTGTATTTGCTTTTACATTTTTTTAATTGCTTGTACTAATTATTATTGTGTAATTTCATATCTGTAGGGGAGTCGGCCTCGGAGAGGAACATACTGTTCCTGTTGCCGTCTCCCCTCAGAATTTTAACTTCTGTGAAGTGGAATTCTGTGAAGTGGAATAAATAGATAAAAATAAATGAATCAATTAAGGTCATCTTTTGTAAATGAATTGTTGATGCCATTTCTTAATGACAGCATGGAACTTAATGCAGGAGCAATCTCTTTGTAGAAATAAGAATAAAAGATTTTGCAGTAAGTGGATAGCTCAAGCATATCTACAACCACAATTGTCACACCTTTATGGATTTAGTGCACTGAAATGTCTAAAAAAAGTGTTAAGTGTAATCTGAATGTTTCGGGAGAGAAGAAATGCAGGTAATCTGTGAACCAACAGGTGTTCAAAGCCCTAAATACACAGATAAGTTTGATTTAAGGTTATAAATCTGAGACTGAAAAAAAAGGATGGCTGGTACGGGAGACCACAACCTGAACTACTGCCCCTCCTCAGCAGAGTCGTCTGTCTTTTCAGCAGGCGCGTCAGCGTCCACTTTGTAATATTCTGACTCAGTCACGATGGTGAGAGTCTTCTTCTTTGATACTTTGAAACTTTATTAGAAGAACCTAGGGTCCACCGCTAGTCTTCCTGGTATTCATTTACACAGACAATACATATATACATACATAGCTGACAAAGTCACAAAACACATCTAAATCAATAACATATTTACAATATACATATTAATTTAAAAAACAAACAATCCTGTCAAACAGTGCTGGTGTGCTACTGATGGATTAGTGTTTGTGCAAACCTTCTTGGGTCGGCCTCGTTTCTTGGGAGTCTCCACCACCTCAGTCTGGAGAAAGACACAAGTCATTAACAAGAAAGGTAACATTTGCAAAGCAAATGCATAATGTTTACCATATGGTCTGCTATGTTAATTATTCTTATTTAAACATATATGGTGACAGGAGTCTAAATCCCTCCTGCTATAAAATTGCAACATGATGTAACCCAACATATGTTACCATGGTGACAGACATCTGGTTCAGGTCATTGACCTTATTTGTTTAAAGAAGAAGAAGAGGAGGAAGAAACATAATTGTTTTGCTCTGTTTCGTCCTCCTCTTCTTCTTCTATTATAGGATTCCTTCTGTGAAGGTAAACACAAAAACAACTCACGGCACGAAAAACGATATTTAAGCATGCTTAAATCGTGCTTAAAGGCGGCGTAATTTCCATCTTTACGCACCTTTCCGGCACCTTTCCGTGTGCGTAAACATTGTCTTTACGTGCCCTTTCCGTAGTACTGGAAAGATACGTATTTGCACTACTTTAGCGGTGCCTTTACGCACCTTTTATGTCCGTAAAGGCTTTGTAAACAATTCCTTTAAGTATTGTTTACGGACCTTTTTTGGTCGGAAAGCATGCGTTTCCTTAAAATTTAAGACGTCTTTTAGCTGCCTTTAAGTCCCTCGTAAACATTGTCTTTACGTGCCCTTTCCGTAGTACTGGAAAGATACATATTTGCACTACTTTAAATTTAGCGGTGCCTTTACGCACCTTTTATGCCCGTAAAGGCTTTGTAAACTATTTCTTTAATCACTGTTTACGGACAATTTTAAGCTTTAAGTTGCCTTTCCGAACATTTGAATCGGCTGTGCATAACCTTAACATACGTCGGTATATGTGAATATGATGACAGAAACAGATATACTCTGAGAACAATTTATTGAGTAAAACGAACAAAATACAATGATTCTTAATAAAATGTTTTAGAACAAGATGTTAGCTCATACTATATTGTCACATTATTACGTATCCCTCCCCAGCTGCAGATTACGTATAATGAAAACAGTTCAAAATAATACATTCCTAAACTAAGCTCACCAATACAAGGAATTGACTACTTGTATCTCCAAACATATATTTGATCAGCCCCCTCGTATACGGCGTTTTGTGAAAGCTTTCTCCTCCGTCCTCTTGGCTGTTGTCAGACGGGCCGTGCCGGGCCGAGAGTCGTGTTGTCGTCGCCGCTGCTTAGAAGCCCCTGGATCCTTTGCGACTGGGCCTCCACCAATTTCAACATATTCTAAAGAAGCCTTTCCTCGCTCCTTGAGATTCTCAACTTCAGCTATAATGTCTCAATTAGAAGGAGGGTCGACGTGTCTTCGAAATAGACGCCATAAAAATGATTTGAATCCGGTAGATTTGAACCTCGCTGTCTTGTATCCCATTGGGTACCGCCCTATCACATGACACGTTCCTCATTGGGTGTCTGCATATGGATACTTTGTAAGTTCACGCGAAGGACACAAAAGCAATGTAAGTTTTGTCATGCTTCACAAATAAAGCAAAATGAAAGTGCGAAGCCGGCTGGGCGATAAACTCGTTTATCTATTTGCCAGTTGGAACATGTTAAAAAAAACAAG